TGGCAGGATTTTGAAATATGTGTGCAGGGGAATGAGGGAGGGAGGTAAATAGGCATTTAGATGGCCATAGCAGTTTAGGCATAGGCCAGGAGGCAGGGCAAACCTATATCTACGTGTGTGTGTGTGTGTGTGTGTGTGTAGGGCTGTGTAAGACCTGCCCTCCACACACTCCACTTTCAAATCCAGAAGTAGAACAGTGTTCCCAGCATGGATAGGGTGTGGTGTCAGAGACCCAGAGTGGGTTGCCTGCTGTGACAAATTCTTACAGCCTCTCCTCTAACATGTTATTTTATTGGCCACATGCCTGTATGTCCTGTGCGTTAAGTGATGTACCTCATTAACTTTTTACTGATACATAATATCAAAAAGCACAAAAAATCATGTGCCCAGTTCCATAAATCCACACAAAATGAACCAGCGCCCAGATCCAGAAGCAGAACAGGGCCAGCCTCCAGCCTCTCCCATGCCGCCCTTGATCACTGCCCACCGAGTGGCTACTCTCCTAACTTTTCACAACAGACATTAGCTTTGCCTCTTTTTGAACTAAAAATATAAATGGAATCAGACTACGTGTTGCCTTGTGACTTTTTTTTTTTTTTTGCTCAATATTATCCAAGTTGTGTGAATTCGTTCTATGTATGATTTGTAAATTCTCAAAACTCTATATAAACATATGGATTCTAAGATACATATGTATATATGTTTTTGTATATACATGTAGACACACATATATACCCTGTTATATAGATAATACATGCGACATATATTTATCTATTTAAATATATATATCCGGATAGACGCTTAACAGATCAACTCTTCTCCAGAATCCTTTACCCTTTTTGCTGCTGACAGGCTTACAGCCATTTCAGTTGGAGGCTATTATTACAAAGAGAAATAACATCGGCTAATTCTCAGAGCAACGCCCCCGAGGCGAGTTCTGCTAGGATTACCTAGGACTCGGAGGCCCAGCGACTAGGTCGCAGCGCGCAGATCCAAGCAGCGCTGGGACCTAGCACCGGCCCGGCTGGCTGCGGCCGCTGGGCGCGTCTGACGCCGCGCTCTCCCCGCAGGCGGAGGAGACG